CTGCTAAATTGGAACAACAAATTTTGTGCCTAATGCACTTTACTTGTGTGGAAGTAGTACTGAGGTCCAACTAAATACTTAAGTATATTTGATTGTGCTAAAGTGGAACTATTGTGAGTATACTTCAGGAAAACTTTAAAACACATTTCAGGCATAATATTAATAAATGTTCATTGTGCAATAAAGAAATACTAAGAAAGTGAATTATAATTTTATATCAGTAAGTCTTAAGTGATATGTCAATTGTGTTAATGGATTTGAAGTATACTTAGCATGAAATAAATTAATTTTAAATAAATTTTTTTTTTACAACTTTTTGATTGTCTTGTGCACTCAATTTTTCTAACAACACCGAATGAACAGGGCTAGATTGACCACTATTTATCTGTCTTTTTATTCAAAACTCTAGTTTTGTACTACTTAATTGTATATATCTCAGTGATCCTCACTGCTCAATCAGAATTCACTACACACCCATCCAAAACTCTGCGGCGTGACTCCTGTTTGACCTCTAGAAATCCTCTTGGCTTTGCTCTGGACTCCAGCAGCTGCTGCCATTGGATTCATGTCACTGTTTCTGTGTGCTGTTACAGCAGAGCCTCCGCTCCACCCCTTCACTACCCACAATCCATTACAGTCCATTATCAGACAGTATATGTCCCAGAACGGCCACTGCCAGCGCCGATATGAGCCTCCTGCACTCCAAGAGACACCGCCTGAGAGTATATGCCGTGAAAATAACTATATCATTTAAATGTAAATTAACTTTAGGGCCGGGTAGTGCATGCAAGTTGTTTTCTATAAGCAGTATGTGTGTGTGTGTGTGTGTTCAATTTCAGATGAAAAGCACTGTGTGCTTAATGGCTACTAATTACATTTAGACTAATGTGTTTGTGATTTATGTCCTTACTACTACTCCACCCCCCTCCCCCTCCCCCTCCACCAAAGTCTAATTAGCAAGTGATATATGCCTTCACAAAAAACATAAACCCTTCACCACACACACACACACACACACACACACACACACACACACACACACACACACACACATATCTCTCC